CGAGACCACAGGACGTATATGCAATATTTATTATCCGCTTCGTGCCGCTCTAGTTGTTCGGTCGTACTACTGCCGATTGCCAGTAAATCTCGTGCGGTTGCGGTGGGCTGTTCTCTCTATAGAAATCTCGCAAATTTGCGGTGATTAACGAAATGTAAAAGTTTCAAAGGATTATTCAATAATTCTGAGGAAAGAAAGAGAATAACGACGAGTATGATGAAATATGATTGATGATAAATTGTCAAATCTGATCTCAAACGTGTCAAGATTTGATACGATCTTTTACAATTCGCAGTATCATATCTCGAGCTATGCGCTTTTCGAACGAATTTAAATGCTTAAGTATTACTTAATCACATACCCGACATTTTGTGTGGAATTTGAAATATGACACCGCTAAGCGTCTTTTAATTACGCGTGAACACGAAACTATGCTTTAGCAGCGTACATTTCGAAAGTTGATATATCGGCAGCTGAAAATGTACGATAAACGCCACGGCGGATCACCGCACGATAGCGTCGAAATTGTTGAAGCTGCATACTTGAAGCGAGTTAAGTGTTTTTGCACGCACAGGCCGTTTAAATCGCGATTATGCGTGTAAAAGTCCCAGCGCGGCGATATAGATCGCGCGCAATATGGCAAATAAAATGAAATTTAGTTGGCTAATTACCAAGATAATAAGCTTTGAAAATTAAGCATAATAACCGGTCGGCGCGAAAGGATTATTAACGCGAATGAAATCAATAAGCAGATGAACGAAAGGCTGGCCAAATTGCGCACGGTTGACCGAGTTTGCCGTGTGGATGGAAATTTAATCATCATAATACTTGTCGCGTGCACACACGCGCGCGCGCGCGATACTTGAAATTTGTCCGGTGTTCCCGCTCACGCTTTATTATTATTATATATGTATTTTACTTTATGTTCTCTCGTATTATACGATAACATATTTATATTTTCGTTATTTTTGTTTTTTATTTTTTCGCATAATACACTTTGACTGCGTAGTTATTTTGCGTCGCTTGCAGAGAGAAAGCGAGAGTGAAACACGTTGAAAGTGTGCTTTGCATTCAATTGTTTTTTCTATATACCACATACGATTTAAGCGATTTTCCTGTTTGCGATATTTTCTCTTTGGCAAAAAAGAGAATTAAACGATATAAAACTTCGAGAACAATGTAAATACGGCGCGAAAAGTTTATCCTCGAAGGTTTCGCAACACGATCGGAATTCGGAAACAGATCGCGGGAAAAAGTTCGTTACAGTAACGAACTAGCAAACCTTTTACCGGATCCGTGGCGCTCCCGACTCCTTAATTTTGTTCTCCAAGTAAAGAAGCGGGCACTTATTGAACGAATCCACACGTCTGCAACCGACGCGCTCAAACTTGTTCTCAAACGAGCGACTAAATGAGTGGTGAGGATATACTTTATAAGTCGTGAACTTTGTTATTAGCCGGCAAATAACCCTTTCGATTTTACATCATGAAAACTTTCTGATATTGGTCTCGCAAAATGAGCGAAAGTTTACATGATAAAGTGTTTAGTTTTTGTTTTGCAAAATAAAACATTATGAGTTTCAAAAAAATAATAATATAATAATATGTAAAAATAATACATAAAAAAATATAATGTAAAATTTAACAAAAAACAATGTAATAATTTACACGATAAAAAAAATATATTTTACACGTATGGATATAAAATCCTATTTCTTGATTCAAGTTTAACAAAAAAAAATATATATATATAAAATTTAACAAAACCAAGTTTGCTTTAATCGTTCGTAGCGTAACGTAAACAAAATTCTATTTGTGCATTGACAATTTCAAATAATATTAATAGGTACGTGATTTTGAAGAGATTGATTTTTATTAAAAACAGACATTTTTTGCGTCAAAGCATCTGGTTTTGATTATTATTGTGTAGTGAGTTTTTAGCGATGATTTTGTTATTATATATAATATACAATTTTTTATTATTTGTGATAGATTTATACTGCCAGATACAAAAAGTGCATTTCAAGTCCACTCCATTGTTTTGATTTTGTTTTTTTTTCTTTTCACTTCTAACATTACGCGTCGTTTCTTTTTTATAAAGCTTTTAAAGCTTTTTTTATTCTTTTACTTCTAAGTTAAGGTCTCCTTTGTCAACTTTTTGCCGCAAATAGAAGTACATCTAACCTGTATTAAGCGTCACCTAGAAAATGCACGCGAGTCCGCAAACTTTTCGCACACACAGTCTGGAGTAAATGTATCATAATAAAATCTCCAACGTATATTACGCTTTCTCTTTTACGTTTTCTCGTACGTAAGAAGTTACGATTTCTTCGAAAAATAACCACTTTGTAATGTGCGCGAAATAAAGTTTACTGTTCGCAATTAAACTCCCTGCGTATACAAAATTCTTGTGTATTCCGAACATTCCGCAGGACGGACATTCTCTTCGAGTCGCGAACAAATTGTGATTCCGCGCTGGCAAAGCCCTCGAAGGCTTGTTTCGCGTTTCGCTTCATGAAACTTTATAAGACCCATCTCCCTGGTTTCCCGCTCTGGCATCTGCGTAGAAATTTACGCGCGGTTTCGCCATAACGTGCCATCGACTCACCGGCCGCGAGAATAAACCCCCGCTTTAACGGCGTACTGAATCGGTTTAACGTCCCGATAGATGCCGAAAAGGATTTTGTCCGTGCGCGAAACGCGCCTTTCGTCTAATGCTTTCCAAAATTTGCATCCTAATCTTCGTAAACCCTTGCGGGGATTACCGTCGTCTTCTTTCATCGTACCGAGGATTTGCTTAACCTCGGCTTTCTTTGAGAGGCCGCCCTCAATTCTACCGCGATCGATATAACGTTTACAAAGCCTCTTTACAAACTCCATGTGCTCGTAGTACGCGGAAAAATATGCCAGGAGCACGCAGAATAATTACATCAACGTTCTTGAAGTATGGATTTTATATTTTTACTTATTTTTAATTAAAAAATGCACGCAACACACACACACACACGGAGTAGCTCAGAAAATTGATGACGTATAAACACATTTTTTTGCGCGTATCAGATACATTATTTACGATAATATTTCAATGTATGTGTGTGTACACGGCTAGAAAAGATACTTCGGAAACGATACAAGTTTACTCGTAACACATTCGCGAAAGGGTTGCAGCGTCGGATTGGTAGCTAATCAAATATAAGGTGATGAAGGAGGAGGTGAGAGTAGGAAAGATTTATTGTAAGTAAATACAATTAGGGAGTTACGAGTGCCTCGAGTAACCTTCGGCTCCAGCTGACGCTAACCCAACTAGGGCTAACCTGACCTAACCTAACTAAATAATCGAATTAGAGACGCCTTCTATCGCGATGGCGCCTTCCCCGCTGTGAAGTCCATTTATCTCGTCCACTTCTAACTTACGCTCGCCACGATCTCTCGACCGTGTTCGCGGAATTGGTCCTCGGACAGCAAATTGACTGTGGTTTAGCGACGGACACCATCTCTCAGGTGTTGCGACGGTAGTTTCTTGACTGGGGTGACCTTCGGAGAGACAGACCGACAATCGTCCAAATGAAAATTAGTAGAAGTTCATCTAAACGTAAAAGAGAACGGTACTACTAGCAGGACATTAAACTATTAACATCAAGATGTGCGATCGATATGAACAAAAAAAAAATAAAAATGTCAATTGTTCTCTTGAAGAGATAATGTGCTAGAAAAACTTTTGTTTATTTTTATAATCTAGCAACATAATTTGTTCTTTTTTAAAGTTATTCTCTCTATCTTGCCGGTAAAAATTCTCGACTGTGATATTGTCTTTACGCAATCGCACACCAACATCGTCTTTCACAAAGCTCGAAGATTCTGCGCGACAACTGCAATTCGAACATCGATACTCAACGATTCGACGTAACATTACACCGCGTTTGCTTCCTAAACAGCTTTCAAACTGCGATAAACGATCCTTCTCGGTTGTCCATTGACGTCTGATCAATGTCGAAGAAACATAGCAACGCTCTCCTCGAGAAAGTGACTTTCCTAGCGTTGAAAAATACAACTTTTCTGTCATTTTTGCAAGAGAAAGTTTCTGGAGTTACGGTCGCGTATATTCGTGACATAGAAACTTTTGCGTGTCCGAGTTGCAAGCACGAAGAGAAGAGTTCGCACTTTGTACCCAAAGACATATTGACATGCATTTCAAATGCAAACTAGTTCAACAAGCGAACAACTTTCACAATCGCGTCTCGCGCATTATCTTTAGACTAAGATTAACTTAATATTTCCTCCTCAGCATGCGGACTAAAATTGCGGAAAACACAGAGGGTTTGTAAAATTCTTCGCGCCTAGAAAAACTCTAAGAAAAAACCAAAGAAACTTTGTACCGACTGAATAAGTAACATCGATTTTTGCGAGTTAGATGTTAAGAAATCCGTCAGTCGCGCGACAATACGAGAGATCATTGATTTACAACAGCTGACAAATAGCGAGATCACACATCGTTATTTATTGCGTATTGTTCGTTTTATATACGTTGAATTTCTTGAAAACCGCGTGTAATGTTTTTTTCTTTTTTTTTTGTTTGGTTTTTATTGGCGGGGACTATCCGTAAAATGCTCGACGTCCGGCAAGAGCGGCCCGTCAATAAAATCGCATCGGTGATTTACGAGCCGCATGCGGAATGATGACAAAAACAGGTCGCAATAAATTGCGCGAGTACATCGGCGGTTATTCGCTGTATATCACTTTGAAAGAATCTGTAAATTTGCCTGCCGCGCGCCAAGAACCCGTCGTAAATACAGCGTGACCGTGGCGTGTGGCGCGAGAGACCGGGACACACGGAGGGGAATCGTTCCCCGCGACGTAGGTCCGACGGGTTATTTATCACGCTAATGTTTTCTTTTATTGTTGCGACGCGCATAAAATCTGGCGCGCGGTTTTACGTGCGCGTACGAAGCACGCCCACACACAAACACACACTTACATGAGAAAAACATGCGCGTGTTTCAGAATAAACGAGAACACAACGCGGTCCCAGTTCCTGGCCTACTTCAGCTTCTCGTCCAAAGCGAGCACGTCTGTCGGCTGGCCGGTGAGGGGCGGACATCCGGTTAACAACACGGGTAAGATGTTTAGCTCGCTTTTGTGATGAATAATGAAATTATGTTGCGTTTTAACGCACAGTTTCCCAGCGTGTATTATTTTCAGTGGATTTTCTAACGCGCGTTTATTTATAAACGCTAACAAACTCAATTACAATATAACATCAGCGAAACTCTAGTTTTCAAAAACAAAACGTTTTACCAATTTTTTCGGCATTTTTACATTTTAATCGAGGTCATGTTCGGATTTAATGATTTTGTGAGAAAACAAAACCAATGAAAAAAAAAAAAAATCTTTTAATATACACATTTGTGTTATTTTATATTTTTACATTTATGTTTTTTTCGCGCTGATAAAAATTATTGCGGATTGTTACGAGGATCGCGATATATGTTATGACGCGTCTAAAGTCACAAGACAATCATGAAAGCGATGATCTGTTGGACAAGTGAGATTATGGTGCTACGTAAACTTGGTACTCGCTACGGGTTGGGCTGCTTGCTACACATCCTGTTTCGGACGGCTCCTATCATAGACTATTGCTTAAACTACACGCCAACAACCTGGTTCACTATCGGAACCCTCATGACGGTAACTTCATCTTCCTGTAAATTATACCCCCGCGGTGTAGCTTATCACGCCGTGAATGCTAAATCGCGAACAATCTATGGGTACATTTTTCCCTTGTGACGAATTTGCAAAAATTCGAAAAAGCGGACTTATATCTGATACGAATATGATTAAGATGCGACTTCTTCTTTCTGCTTTTACGGTTCTTTCTTCCGCGAAGGAACGAAGTTCGCGATGCTTTTCGGGATTTGCAGCGAGTAACAAAAAAAAAAAGAAAAACCAATTTTTCCTCGAATAAAAGACCATAAAAATATTTCCACACGCCATTTGAGGACGCTATTGTACTTCGTTGCTTTCTTTTTCAAAAAGCAACGGTGAAACAAAAACAAACTATTTAACTACCTCGCTAAAGCGCAAACCTCGTAGCACATTCGCAAATTATCGATGTGCTTTTTGCATGTAAAATCGAGTTACACCGATAAGCTCGTTGCTTCTCGATTAGAGCGTACAGAGCGGGCGAGAACGTTCGTCTGGCTGGAAACGCGTATTGGTTATATGTAAGATGCATATCGGAAAATCATAGAGTCGCTCTAGGCAGGCGAATGTAAAAAAGAAAGTAGATTTTGTAAAGGTGTTCGGTAAACAAAGTTTTTCTTTTGTAATGCAAAATACTTGGCTGAATTGTGCAAAAGTTATTACTTTCGAGAGACTCCCGACTAATTTTGGAACAAAGCGTGTCGGCGAATGCAACAAAAAAAAAAAATGAAAAAAAGAACGGTAAATAAAAGAAAAGGAAAAAACAAGCAGACATTAAAGCAAAGAGGTAATTTTATAGATCCCCTAGGTGGAAAATTATACGAGCTTAAGTGCAGTCTGATTTCGGGCTTAAACGAAGAAGAGAACGACGAATCCTCGTTTGGGATTCGAAGCCATTTAGCCACTCGTGATCGAAAAGTGTTAACGGTCTAAAACTAGAACGTTGGCGCCATCGAGACAAAGATTTCCATCTTTAAATACCACACGTTTCCAATCCCCGCAATGTGGTCGATGCTGTTTTTTTTTTTTTTTTAATATAGCAAATTCCGGTATAAAAAAATAATCGGGACGGAATATTAGAATGTTATTTGCCAAATGTCATTTCCATAGCAAATAACATTAGAAAGTCAATTAAGTAAACGGGTCAGAATTTAAATTTTTTTATTGTATTATTCATTTTTTAAAGAATTTTCTTCATATGTGTGTTATATTTAAATTTTGGTCCGCTCTCTTCTCCGTGTGGACTCTTTATTATTTACAGTTATTGACTGTCATTCGATCGCACACGATTTGATGGCCTCGCGCGCCGCGTCGTACATGTTCGAGATACCGTAGATAGTGAGAAAATTGAAAAGCCCTTTTAAAAAAATTGCACGCAACGCTGTTATGAGAAAAGTTTTGTGTATATGTGCCTTGAACTTCCGCGTCCTAGTAATGCGTTGTGTAGTGACATAACCGAGTTTTTTGACCTGCCGTCAACCGGAATGTACGCGGTATTCGCGAACAAACCAGTCGGCCAAATCTCACGAGAAATAAAACGCAGGTAGCGCTTTCGTTTCGTTTCATTTCTTATCACGTTTAAAACATTCGCCTATTTTACGTTCGTCACCTGACTTTTACGACTTAACGTTCACGTGACGTACGTGCGTACAATATTTTCAGTTGTAGAGAAAGAGTACTTATTTCAGTTATTTCTCCTGGCAACGCGAGAGAGCAACGAGGGCGACACAGCGGTTTTCCGCTATCAGCTGATATATCGATTTATTGATTTTCTGAAAATTACATGGTTTTTGTTTTATACACGCCCACAGAGTCCGGAGCATTGCTTCCCATTGCGCGCTCTCTCATTGAGTTGTATTAATTAAAATTAATAACCTAATAAATATTGCGAATATTGCAAAATGATACGTAGTTTCTGTTTTAACTGACCCAATCTATCTTCACACTACGATTGTGTCAAAAAGTTCTAGACACTCTGTGTATGTTTCATAATTTCTCCGCTATAATTATACCATGAGTTTATTTTTATTTTTTTTTTTTATTTTTTTTTATTTTTTTTTTTTTGAAAACATTTTCGCGCCTTCGAGCGATCGTACGACAAACGTGTTTCGTGAATGCCGAGCAGCCGCCGTAACGGGCAATCAGCGATTTCTTTTGAAACGAGATGCGTCGCGTCGGCTGAAAAGGTGCGCGTCGAAAGTGGCGATAAGAAAGCGCGCGCGAGGGAAGCGAGAACGGATCGGCGCGGGCGTGCGGCGCGCGGTAAAATGCAACTCCAGTGTGAAAGCTTTCCTTCACGAGCAAAGTGTAACGAGACGACAACGATTCTCGATTATCCCCGAGAGGAGAGAGGCCGTCGCGGCGGGCGATCCATATGCGCGAGACGTACGATCGGGAGACGTGACTGTCACTCCGTCCTCCGGATGAGAGAGAGGTTCTTTTTGGCGTTGGCACACGTTGCAGCTGTCTCTCTCTCTTTCCAACCCTCGGTGAGAACGAAAGTACGGCGGAGAGTGAAGAAAGAAAGGGTGAGGGAAGTGGAAGGTAGAGCGCGCGGGAAATAGAAAGAGAGCATCAGACGAAGGCGCCGCCCGATTGACAAACAGATCAATCGTGGGTGGAAAGACGATCCGCAGTCTTACCGTTCGATCTGGCTCCGTTTCTCTCACCCGTTCTTTCTTTTTCTTCCTTTGGGTTTTCCCGAACACGTGCATCTCACGCAACCCACCCGCCCGCTCGCTCGCTCGCTAGCTAGCTGGACGAGAAAAGTCGGCTCTTCCGCTCTCGAATTTATCTCTCGTTCGAGGAAGAACTAGCCGGCGCGTTTCAAGGTGATTTATGTAAGAAGAGAGAGCTATTGTGTGCGACGAAAAGAAAGGTTATCCGGTTTAAAAGGAATATTATTTCCAGAATGTGCTGAATGTGTCGCGAGGAGGAACGAGCAATATTACACGGGTGATGTTTTAATTCTGTACAAATTTGTGAGAGAGAGAGAGAAAGAGAGAGATTTTTATTTAACCTACTTGTGTATTTTTTGTGCGTCTGTGACAAATTATTTTAATTCATTTATTATTTCTTATCCGTTTATTCATCCGTTACGTTCAATCTGTTTAAAACGTAAGAACTAAAATCAAGCAGAGCGTATATGTCCGAATTAAAATAAGAAATTTAGCGAATTGAAGATAAAGCGGATGTTGCTCGAGTGACAAAGCGGTCAATTTGCTAGTAAGAAACCGAACCTGTTCTACAAGCATGTGCCATCACTTGATACTGTTTCTTTTCTTTCTTTTCGTACACACTTGCACGGTCACGTAAATTGTACTTACGAGAGAGAGAAGTGTTCCTAGCTGGCGCATGTAAGATTGATTATTTTACTGAAACTCTCCAGCACAATTCTCTCTTTCTCTCTTTTATCGTTGTTTTACATTATGCGTATAAATTTTCACTGAAATTGTTATATTTGTATTAACAGAGAATTATGTATAATTAAACTTATTTTAACAATTATTCGTAATAATTGATATTAATATTGCTAGACGGTTATAAAACTATAATTAATGCATACGAAAGAGAGAGAGAGAGAGAGAGAGAGAGTCAGACTAAGAGATTTTTAATTAATAATTATTTTCAAATACACATGACTTTGTCAGTGACATTTGCATTAAGGCAAAATCACCGCAGGAAATGATTGTGCAGTGTACCATATTTTTGTACAATTTCTACGCTACAAATACACACACACGCGCGCGTACTCTGTAACAAAATAAAATGTGTTCAACAATTGTCTGACCGTCATGGAAACTTAAATTATTCTCAGTTGTAGTTAATTGTGTTAATCAAAACGCGGATATATTAATTTTCATGCGTTTAAAATTTGAGTAGAATATTACACAAAGGAAATTTATTACGAAAAACTAATCTTTTAGATTATTGCACGCGCGATATAAAACTAACCGGTAAAAAGCTTGTGCTTATTCAGAGACCGGTGCTAGTCGAAAAGTTAATTGCGTCTATTACAAGTTCGCCGTTGCTTGTTTTTTTTTCCTTCTGTTTTTCTCTTTCTCTCTGCTTCTGGATACAAACGCCTATGCAATTTTCGCAGCTTTCTCGTCGAAAACGCGCGCGTCTGTGCGCGATGTTTCGGGGGGCGAAGCGAAAGAGCCTCGCTTCATCGCCCACCACACGTTTCTCCCAGTGAATAGAGAGGAAATAAAGAAAGAGGACAGAAAGAGAAAGAGAGAGAGAGAGAGAGAGAGAGAGAGAGAGAGAGAGAGAGAGAGTGCTCCCGTGGAAAAATTTTGTCGAATCGCGGAAACTCCGCGAAATTGCGCGAGAAGGAATGAACATTTCTTCTAGTTTTTTTTTCTTTTTTTTTATTTATTTTCTCTCGCGGCATTTCCGCCTCGGGTTCGTTACGGTGCGCCACGAAAGAAAGTCTTCGCGCGCCTTCTGCGGGCATTTACATAGAGCCCACTTTCTCCCTCCCCACTGCATTCTGTTGTCGTAGTAAAGCAGTTCACCTTTGCGCTCTTAAACGCGCAACCGACGAGTAAGTTCTCCCGGTTGGCACATCCGCCGCGGTAATTGCGCCCCGTTTATACGAAAAAATCGGCGTTCTCGTTAACACATAATCGCGTACAGTGAATGTTTCTCTATAAAAAGACACAGTTATGTATGTTCTTTTTTTTTTTTCATTTTTTTTTACTGAGACCTTCGTGATCATTCAAATAGAGAATTTCACGTTCTCGAGAAATCCGACGTTTTCCAGAGTTTATCGTATTTCCTATCGTGTCAATTATTCTCTTGTTAATATTGTTACAGTATTAGAAATTGTGTATAAGAGAAAACCGAGATAAATAATACTTATGTTGTATAGTTATATTCACTCTATAATGGAGTGTTGCAAAACTTTTCCTTTGATGTCATTAGCACAGCTACCGGTGTGTGTATCCGTTTGAGCCACGTCCGTTGCGCTAACGAGGCAACTTTTCGAGCAAACTAACGCGCAGATAATAAAACTCGATACCCTTTCAATTACACGTACAATTAACGAACTCGGCGAGTTTTTTTTAAGGCTAAACAGTTAATGCCCATTAACTGCACGATCCAATTATCATTCGGCTGATTGCGCGCCGTGTCGAAGAAATTAGTGTGCTCACATCGCTCCGTTTGTTAGCAAATAATTAGTCGTCGCTTTTTCGACCTCGACACGAACGAATTTAATTTTCCGATTGTAAGAATTTTATTCTCGCGCTGCGAGAAAAAAAAAGTCCCGTTTCTTGAGCGAGAAACGCGTCTCGAGATCGCGGAAAATAAAGAGCGAGAAAAATTCTGCGCTTCGAGGTGGGAAGCGAAAAGGGCGGGGCAGTTTATAGTAAAACTGGTGCGCTGGAGAGAACGTTTACACGGGGATTAAAGAAGAGAGATGCAACGGGCGTTATATGAATCGAGAAAATCGTGTGCCCGAAGGTAAATGCCTCCCATACCTAATGAGTCCGCTCATTATGACAATTGCATACGCCGGGACTATAAAGCTAAGCAAAAAATGCTGAGAGAGAAGCGGTCGGACAATCAAGTAGCGTGTTTGCTTTTTCTTTCTCTTTCTCGTTCTTGTTTACAAGAAAGAGCAATGATATGGTTCTTCTTAACACGTTTCTGAAGAACACGCGGAACAATAGAATCGTTGTGCGTACGACAACACGTTAAAACTCTTTACGATCTTGTGTTTAACGATACACGATGTAAAACTGTGTCTCCTTTGTGTGTTATCAAGAAACATGGTAATGCTTTTTATATGCAAAATTCATGCGATTGAGAAGTGAGAAGATTTTCATGGGGAAATATCTCGAGAACGACTAAATACGGATTACTTTCGTTGTAGCCTCAATTGCTTCACAACAAAACATAAAAAAAAAAGTATTCTTGCACTTTTTTTTCATGTGTCTTTAAACTCGTGATTAAAGTAAAGTCACGTGTTGTTTTTCCACTTCTCCCTCTATTTTTCGAGTGTGATTTTCATGCGTTATTAAACAAACCTCAAGTGTCGCTGCATTATCAAAGTAATATTAATGACTTTTTTTTGTACTTGTACATGTAATTGGCAATAATAAATACGAAAGGTTCATTATGCGTCTATGGAAATTGCGTGTTTGCATATGTTATGAAAATGGAATAATTAAACACGTAATGGATTGTCAATCACTGGACATTACAACAATCGGATGCATTGATTCGCCTATTTCGGGGAATAGCTTTGAACTTCAATATTTTCGCATAATGCGGAATGTTGTTAATAAACGGATATTCCATTTTGCAATAAATTATACAATATATAAATCGCCGACGCGAATTATCAAAATTGCCACTGCATTTCACGAAGAAACGTTTGCTTTAATGCCGTAACATTTATATATCTGTGACACGTAGTATTTTATTATAATTTATAAAAAAAAGGCAAATAAATTATTAATTAAATTTAAATATCATAATTAGTATGTCGTCGATGGTTTTTAAGAAGTGTTATTCATTAAACGAAAGAGTAGCTCTTTTATGCGGATATTTTGATAAATACATAGTAATGACCCAATGGATACTTATTTATACAGTTATATATTTATGTTACGTAGTTATATTATATCGCATAGTGATAATCATCCAGGTAGAAATGCAAACTGTTCATCCGCTGTGAACTCATGGCCCGTGATTAAATTGGTAATTCAGGTCGAATAATCCATAACACGTAGCTTTGGCAGTATTTCGGGTTCCGAGTCTCGAAAATATTAATTGAGAATCATACGCGCGCGAGCCGGATCTCGTTAAGCCCGTTCTAATTGGTCGGGGCGTGTTTGCTGTTGACGCGTCCGTTTTCGGAAATTTTTTATGAAGCCGCTAGACGTATTAATTATTTCTGGTCTTCCGCAAGTTTTTCGCGCTTGACGAAATTCGGTCTGTCCAACGGCAGAAATTGAAGCGTCGTTTTAACTGGCAGCATTCGACGTGTACTGTATCGATTTTCCATCTTAATGAGTGTAAAACAAAATTCTCCGACAAAAAACATACTAGATCGATATTTAAAACTTAAGTTTATATAAAAACAGTTTTTCCATTAATACTGAAAATTAACTTTTAAAGTGCATTCATTCGGTTTTGCCAAATGACAGAAAATAATGAATAAAAAATACTCTAAAAAAATATATATAAAACTTCTCTTCACGTAGTTTTTTATCTTTGATGTAGATGATTTTTTTTTTTTTTTTTTTAAAGAGACTTAATCACTTATACATATTTTATAAAAATTTTGATAGAAATAAATACAAGCTCCGAATCACTATTGTGTGTTTTCAATGTTTTCTTGTTTGCAGAATGTGATTCGGTGTACGAGGACACGGATTGCCACGACGGGTGCATTCTGGCTAGTCCCGGATATCCCGGACTGTATCCGCCAAACATTCGTTGCCGGTATCTGATCACTTCTAGCCGGCGGATCTCCATTGCCATCAACTTCACGGCGGTGCTTCTTCCCGACAAGTAAGTACTATACTGTCAAACAACGTCTGACTCCCAAACGACACAGAGAAACATGTTGTCTGCGGACAAGCATGTCACAAAGTTTCCAACAGATATCCGAGACAACTATCCACCTGGAAGTTTGTACAAAACGTGTATTCTTATCCCTATTTGCTTGTTTAACGTTTCATTTAATTGCTACGTCATTATCACTCAACATTAAAAAGTTTACATAACGATTTTTGCAAACACAAATGTTTAACTCGCTCGTAATGAGAAAAATAAACCGAAAAAACGAGCGCTTTTGAAAAACGGCAATTTTCTTTTACACGCTCGCCAATATCGCGCGCGTTTATTTCGAGGTTTCTTTCGCGTGTTCACGGCATGTATCCGCGCGCGTTTCTCTCACGATGCAGTTCCACGTGCCACGAAAAACTACTCAAGCCGAGGCTATACAGACTGTTGCGCGACAAATTAAAAAACACGAGAAGAACCGAGCGAGAAGCGTCGCGTGTACTTCTTTGGCGGTCCACTCTTTTCCGCCAAATACTGAGACGCCACGTAATAGCAACTCTAGCTGTTAGTGCGCGAGAAAAAAAGTAAACACAAGATGCAGTTCTCGCATAATCAAGCACTGAAGTACCGCGTGAAAAAGAGGAAAAACAATTTTACGGATTTTGTTCGTTGAATTTTCAGGTCAGTCATTAAAAATTAATAACGCTAAAATTTAAAATAATCAAATAATGCTAAAATGTAAATTTAAAGAAAATACAGCGTGACGAAACATTGAAAATAAAACATGGCTGCATTTTTATTTCTTTTATATCTTGTTACGTCTAAAGAATCGATATTATTGTAAAAGAAATTAGAATTAATTGCTTATTAATTATTAATTATTTCACCTTCTGTGCTTTGTGATGCCTTTTTTTCACGTTGATTTCAAAGTCTCATCAAGTGTTTCTTTTATCGCCGCCGTGGCGAGCTCGGATTACATTAACGCGGCAAAAGTGAAAGAAGCGAAAGAGCAGCCGGAGAAAGGGAAGCGCAAAAAAAAAAAAAAAAAAAAAAACAAAGACGAGAAATCTCCAACCACCCTTTTGCAATCTTTAGTCCGGGCATTTTTAATAAAACTACCCGTTTAAAACGCAGCTCAGCTTGCATAACGAGCGCGGAGAACTCTCTTCACGCCGTGTTAACCTCGCATGCATATAAATCATTTTCCGCTTTACCGAAGAATACGCAACCGTTTTTGAGCGTAAACCACGCACTCTTCATTTCCATTTCGCATAAGTAGAAAAAAAACTGATCGCAGTAATCTCTTCTGTAAGGAAATTACAGTCAGATAGATTTCAAGAGAATTGAAACAGAAAGAAACTGTAAATTTATAAACTTGCTGTGTGTCAAACGCATCGAGTTAGCGTCTTACCGAGCGAATGCACATTCCGATCAATTCCTGAATCCGAAATATAATGAGTTTGTAAACGAATAACCCGCAGGAAGAGAACTTATTAACATTCCGCGCTTCAGCAAGTCGTCGCTTTTTGAAGTTCGCCAACCCTCTCTTCGTGAATCCGCGAGAAACGGCTATATAAAGTACATATCTTAATAGCGCGGCAACGAATAGAGGAAACCAATCGAAGCGGCGCTTTCGATTCCCCGGCACATACGTTTGCACCCACGCGAAGTGTATATGAGAGTGTTCCGTGTGTGAAATCTGGTCTTCAGAAATGTCGCGAGTCAATACGCAGTCGCTCTTTGCCGAGGGTAAGAGCCCATTTCTGTGTGTGTTTGCATGAAGAAGCGCGCATGTCGATGGATGGGAAGAGACGGGAGAAGAGATGCGCAAACGCGTATTTCGGCGCTTGACAATACTTGCCGCGTCTCGTTTCGTCAGTTGCGTCAACAACTCTCCCGTCTTCCGCGCGTTCCTCCGCGTCGCGTTTTCATCCCGTCCGAATCATTCACCGAGCGATAAGAATGCATCCGCGCGCGCAGAACATCCCCTTCTTCTCCCTCCCTCATTGTGCGTTTTGAATTATTTGCTCCGTGCCATAAACGCGTGTTACGTCGCGACATCCTCCGAATGCGCGCGTTCGTCGTTCGTTTTGCGATCGAAAGTAAAATTACACGCGTTTGGAGATTTCAAAACTTCTTATAACTTGTACGATCGAGAGAATAAAAATATTACATCAGTCGATAGATCGATCTTTTGGATGCAATTAGATGCGGTTTTATCTGAAGGTCGAAATTATAACGGGACGCGATTGTAGTGGACTGAATTGTTCGGAGAACAAAATGCGGAGAGAGAACTGGGCCAGAGAAATTTTTGCGAGAGAGGAACGACAAAGAGAGAAAAAGAGGTAGCCACGACACGCTGGCGATATAGCAAGGGTTGTGCAGCAGTGCAACTGCACTTGCTTTTTCACAGCTGCAGTTGTTCTCGAAAATTCTGGAAACCGACTGGCTTTTACACCGGTGCCCGCTGAAAAGCCATTTCACACGGAGTCGCGAGTACACCGAGCGTTTCCGTTCCCTAAGGACGGCCATATTTTAAACCTCCTCCGGGCGACACCCGTTTTATTTGCAAATACTTTGGCGAACACTGTAATATCGAAATTGATGGCCGGATGATTGCGCTTGTACGATGCGTCTCGATTTCTTCTATCTTCAACCGTCACTTTAATTCTTAACGCTCGAATGCTCTTCACCAGTCGGACATTCAAATCCGTAGAAGTTGAAATTACTTGTGACTCAGCAAGCGCGCGTTCCTCCATATATGATTTCACAATAAAAATATCGTTTTTGAGTAAACATTTAAATTGATTTTTGCAATTGACCAAAAATTCGTTCAAAAAAATTGATGTGATGAAAGAATTGATATTGATTTCTCGAAATAGCCACAGAAGTTTTGTTTCCCTTAAAACATTTTTTTTTCAACTGCGATACTTTGTACGTTTGCGTAATCACACAGCGGAAAACTTCAATGAATTTTCGCAAAAAAAAAAATATATATATATACGTATATATATATTGCTTTTTGCGGCGATTGCATTTGCCTTTGCGGCAATAATAAACGTATTTTCCAACATGCTGCGGTATGTATGCATCTCTCCGACAAACAAACCCATGTACCCAGTTTACGGTCCGCAGACTGCCAATCACGAGGTCGACGCGTCGCGTTTTATCCCTATCGAATGACGCGGTTTCGAGATTTATCGCAGCCTTATACTGGTCCGACGTAGAATTGACAATTGTGAAAAGAACCTGAATCGCGTCGCGTTCGAGGTATATTTCCTCGTTTCGACTGGATTTGTTGGGCTCTTGCAGTTGTTCGAGAGTGTTACTGCAACACTATCGATCTATAACTCTCGAATCGAGAACCAACTCGCGTATATACGTGTTGACTTAAAATCCACCAATGTTCAATTTAACCGAATAAATATTGTAGAAGATAATTCGATCATTTTTCGTCTCAAAGAACGTGCTGCGAAACTTTTGCGCAATAACGTCGCATTTTCTATTGTATAATTTATATATAAACTTTTTTATTACATTAATTACATAAAAACAGTGAAAAATAACGTAAATATTAAATTCAGAATATATATCTCGAAAAATATTCGTGAGATAATTTATCAAAGTTAGTTTTCAAAACACATGAGTAATAAAACTGAATAACTTTTTCATCATCGTATCGTGAAATATAATGTATAGTTATTGTATTGTGACATATTATGTAATTCTCCGCAATGTTCTCGTTATGTTATTGCAAAGAAATATATATATATATATGTATATATATACATGACTTTCTAATGAAGAGTTGCGTTACGCAGCTTATACGATACCATTATGGTCGTCGTATATTCTTTGTATGTATCCGTTGCGTTCTGCGCGAACACGGCACGATAGTTTAATTACACCGAACCGCTTGCCTAGGTATTTTCTCTTGGATTTTACATATATGCGAAATTACATGGGCGCCGTCACGAAGCAGGCTTATACCGTGAACGGCCAATAAAGAGACACAGCGAGAGGATTCGCCGGCTGTGCTCCCGCGACCGAGTGCACGTTCTCTCTCTCTCTCTCTCTCGCGTTATCTTTTTTATCTTTCTCTCTCTCTCTCTCTTTATAATCGTGCTGAGTCTCATTTTTTCGCAATTCTTTCATCGCGCGTAATTTCTCTAGCGGAAAGTTCTACCAGGACATTTGCAACAAAACACTCGCGATATCGACTATAACGTTAATTTACAAACCGCCTGGTTTTTTCCTTATATTTATTCGCGCGTATAGCGAGCGCGTAGCAAATTCTGTTTTGTTTTTCGCACATATATACGAAAGGTTTAATTTAATTTAATTTCTTGGGTCTATTGAAGAATGCAAAGTGGACATTAAATCGCATTTTTACACTTTGCGCTTTTAACGCGATTTCTAACGCCGTTGAAAAACGACTTTAATGGAATATTGATTAACACGAGGAACATATAAGGTAGATATTTACACTGAAATGGTAACTTATTACTTAGATTTCAAAATGTATTGGTATGGTTGCTTGTCTCTTGTATGTTATAAATTACTATATATTTATTTTATCTCTTTCTCTCTCTCTCTCTCTCTCTCTCTCTCTCTCTCTCTCATACACGCACACACACACACAACGTTGTATTCCAACTCTGCGAGTTTATTATTGCGTGACTTACGACTGGCGAGAAGATCTACTAGCGTCTAAATAAGCCCCTGCATGTGCCGTAGAAGGTAAACCGCCGTGCATACAACCAACTACCTTGCAAAGGAACATCTAGGGATCAGCCTCGAAGGATTTGCGGCTGCCAAATGTACGCGGTACCTCATTCCCACTATTCGTATCCATTATTCAACCTCATTATGATTAATCGTATGAAACTAGTATTTCGCGCCGTTGCTGTGTTTCAATGATTTCACCTCCCCTCGTCTCTTAATTAAGCCGGAAGGATGCATGTTTAATTTTATGCGAACTCGTCCACGTCATAAATTAAATAAAT